GGATAGAGTCAAGAAAACCGGAGGCTGGGAAGAGCGCATGTGGATGACACGGTTGAACCCGCATCTTGACGCTCCACTCCGCATCCCCTGACTCACACAGCAAATGACTAGGTTTTTTGACCAAACACAAATAAGTGGCTGCCACGACCGGAGCCGCATCTAGGCTTGTCATCACACCCGGCTCGGATCCCACGGAGTGGTAGTGCCATAAAGGCACACAAAGAAGGAGCCATTGCAGCCTGACTTCCAGACCACCAGTCGGCCACTCAACACAAACACACAACACTGGGCCGACTGCGAGCTCCGAGCTATCCCGCCAGATGGCAAGATTCCCAGACGCGACTTCTAGCGCAAAGTGATACCTTCAAGCGTGTCAGCTTGTTGGTAGTGAAGAAAATGCACTGAGCCGCCGACTTTACTCTCTTTTCTCATTACCAGGACCCAGTCATTCTTCTAGCCGGCCATCTGACAGTTGTGGGGAATAGGTGCGGTAGCTAACATATTTAGTAACCTTTCTGCGCGCCACATGGACGATTTGACTCCTTAAATAAAAGCACCATTTCACACAACGGGGGGTTGAGCGGCGTAAATCTCACATGCATGAGAGTGCCGTAGGTCACGTAAAGAAGGAACTGCATTAGCCTGGCTCTCGGCCCGACAGTCCGCAACTCAACTGGGCAAACTGCGTTAACTGAGTTGGGGCGTCAGTCAGCAGCCCTCCATCCACAGCACTTGACGCGCCATGATAGTCTCGGACTCGAATCGCAAAGAAGCAGCATGGAGACGGAGCCGAGACACACACTTCCTACTTCCGTGGGAGGTGACAATTGAACGGTTGTGGCGGATGATGTTGGTAAATTATGAAGGTGGAGGAAGGTGTGATGGTGTGGCTTAGCCGGCGCTTGTCTGCCGCAGGTTTTCGTGAGTGCGCATGTGGCGGATTATAGGGTCATTGCGTCGACCGCAAACGACCATGTCTGCCGTGTGCGCCGCGGAGGGAGCGCAGCGCCGATAAATTGCGCGTGAGCAACTTCAGAGTGATGAAGACGCGATAAGACAGAATCAGGACGACCGGAGGCTGGCATCAGCGCAGTGGTTGATAAGGCTGAAAAGTCCGTCTACACGGGCCACACACTCGACCTGGTCTTCACTCCAAAGTTAACGAGCTTTCGTGAAGACAGCTTGAAATTCATGTTAGTAGCAGTGTCGTGGAAGCTACATTAAGAGGGAGCCATTGCTGTCTGACTTACAGTCCTGAGAAGGACCGAATCGCCCGGTCAGGTTTCCAACTTACGACTCTTGGTGTGTTGTTGTAGATTCAGGCGCATCAAGTTAATTATGGTGGGCGATGCGTTAATGCACCGTGCAGATGGGATCTCCATTGTCAGTCTCATCTCATCTTCTCCTGTCATGCACCAGTCGATTATCCGGGGCAGCTGGTGGCTGACGCGGCGCAAATGCGTATCTAAGGCTTGCCACGAGCATGCATGATTCGTGCCGACTTGGCGCAGTTTTATAAACCTGTTCCGTGAGCCAGTCCGACAGCCGTTAGGGCCTAGCGAATCTTCAGCGTAACCCACTGTGTGGGCCAAACAAACACAAACACGCACACGGACCCGTAATGTAGCCACAAAGTGTTGTCTCACTCTGGTCTGGATGCATTGATGCACCGTACAGGTGGAATTTCCAGTTTCAGTCTCGATCCCTCTCTTCCCTGCCATGCTTAGGTCTGAGGCGTGCCATGCGCATATATGAGTGATTGTAGATTCGTTCGGACTTGGCGCAACCTGACAAACGTGTTCCGTGAGCCAGTCCGATCTGCGTTTGGGTCTAGCGAATCTTCAGCGTAGCCCGCTGCGTAGGCCAAACAAACACAAACACACGCGCACGGAACGGTAATGTAGCCACAAAGTGTTGTCTCACTCTGGCCTAACAGTCACCCCACATACGCCTCACACGTCTTACCCCCCCCCCCACCCCCGGTTGAAGGCATACAGGTCGAGTGCTCAAGTGCCAACTCGATTGACGCCTCATTACCGGTGGCTCCAGTGCTTACTACCAGACGTAAGTCGCGAGTAACTGTAGTTTGGACGCACGCTGTTGATATTAACACAGCGGAGACTGTGTACAAAGATATGAGCACAATCTGCCTGTGCCAAAGGGGTGGTCAGCTGTCCTAAGTTGTTGAATGAGTTCTGAAAATGGACTGTAAATTGAATCTCGTAGCCAAAATTTAAGTGGTCTGTGCAAATCAGGAGCTGTCAGAGGCTAGGAGACCTGACAACAACTCAGTGGACTAGCGTACTAAGTTGCCTCTCAGATGTTGCAAGTGGCTCACCTACTGCCACATGTTCTGACGCGTTTTTTACAAGCACTTGCGGACCACATTCGCACGGCTGAGTCACTACTAATCCCTGATGATTGGCTTCCGTATTTGCCAGCAATCCGAGGGACTTGGTTCAGATGTTTGTTTGTTAATCTTCCTTTTGGCCTACAGTATGCCGGGACGCATAAAAAACTGCGGAGTTCCATGAGAAATCCTCAATAATACAGAGATTATCTCAAGTATCTTATTCCAAAACGAAACAAAAAACAAACTGCACTTGTTGACAAGAAGAAGAGAAAACATACGGCAACAATTTAAAGGGGAAACCCGAAGGTTCGGAAGTGGACTGTTCAATGAATGATTGATTAGTTCATTTGGCCCGATTGTCGAGCGCTCGGCGCTCTGGTGGAAGTAGAACCCAAGACAGCAAGGGCAAGTCTTGAGCACAGCCAATGCTCTAAGCTTCTCAGTTTGGAAGCCCAGACCGGGAATAGGGAATTTAGTTATATTTAGGGCAAGCTACCCGTCCAACCTACTGTAACATCTGAAATCCATGAAGTCGGATACAGTAAGCTGACTGCCCAAGCAGGATTCCTCAGACAGTCAATCTGGAATCCATTAGATGACTACCAGGCTCACTTAGCTAATAGGCACTTTGTACTCAAGTCTTCTCCGTGCTGTCTTGAGTTCAAGTCCCACCAAGGTGGCCGAGTTGCTCACAGTTGGGCCATAATGAATTATTAAAAATCTGCCAAAATACCTATTAATCACGTGAACTCGATAGTCATCTGGTGGAGTCATCTGGTAGCTACGGAGGACTAAAAGCTGCTTAGTGACCTATCATGACTCTGTGATCACTCCTCTGACTGTCCTATCGCTCCAACTGGTCTAATGTGACAACCTAACTTTCTCTATTATTTTCCATTCGTCCGCCTACGGATTGCTATCACTAGTTCGGAAGTTCACGAACAAGGCTTGATTTTTCCGAAGAGTATTCTCCTTTTTTATATGTATATATATGTTGATTGAAACGAAAATGCGCGTTCCCGGATATAAATGTGACGTGCAGTACGCAACCCACGTCCGATAGTGGAAGCTTGTTTGCTTTCAAAACGTCAGGCAAATAAATCCATGGCTCCTATGAGCGTCTTATCTTCTCAGTATATATATATATATATGTGGCGAGGAGGGACGACAGAGAATGCGGGTAGATTGATACAGCACTGTTTCGGGCTTATTCTGCCTTCATTCAGCCAATCATAACCCTGACCACCAGCAGTTGGAACCAGAAACACAAACATGCGCACAGACGCACCTGGCGCAGTCGGTCTGCAGCGACAGAGAATGACAGGTGGCGAGGCACTGATGAACTTCGGTTCGATGAAGTGCTTATGACCCATCTGGTAGGCCTCAGTGGTGGACCGACTGCGCCAGGTGCGTCTGTGCGCATGTTTGTGTTTCTGGTTCCAACTGCTGGTGGTCAGGGTTATGATTGGCTGAATGAAGGCAGAATAAGCCCGAAATAGTGTTGTATCAATCTACCCGCATTCTCTGTCGTCCCTCCTCGCTGCTATTATGACTTGGCCGACTTCGGCCTGGTAATTGGTTGCCTGTTCGTGACCTTTGCAACACATACGGAGCTTGTTTGCTTTGTGAAGCCAATAGATCGGTGTGCGCCCATTCCTGATTGATATATATATGTGTATATACTCATGTTGATATATATATATATATATATGTATATAGGCAGAATGGTATTACCGACAAAGACAAGGGACACTGGAATGGCCATTTCTGGCTTATTAGCCGTCGTCAGCCAGCCACGCCCAAGCCCGAAGTGTGGAACACCCGAGCCTCGAACTCGCGACCTGTTGGTTTAGAAGTCCACGCCTCTACCCACCGGGCCACGAGCCCATTGCCCTGTCGTTTTCGATCGGGAATATACAATGGTAGGGGGCGCTCACCGATCGTTCATACGGAAGTCACTCGTTCCGTTGTGCCTTAAGGGCTCTCTCTCGAGCCCAACCAGCAGCCGCACAGCGGCGCATGGTATATACGCAGAATGTTATTACCGACAAAGAAATTATATATGCATATATATATATATATAAATCAGGTGGTACCAACAAAGACAAGGGAGACCGGAAGGGCCATTTCTGGCTTATTAGCCGTCATCAACCAGTCATACCCAACCCCAAGTGTGGATCACTTGAGATTCGAACCC